ACTATATGGGAGTCCAGCAATGTAACCGTTATGTCATCTCCTAGTCTCAGATTCCTTTTCTTAAAAGTAAAAGAGAGATTTTTGCTATAGGGTATGTGGTTGCTGGAGAGACAGAGAAAGACAGAGAAAATGAGAAGTCACTTTCCACGGGGGATGGCCACACTGCAATCTCTTCTCCTCCATTCTCATCCTCGGGATTTGGGGCATGCATGCATACACACCTGCCGTGTGTCTCAAGTCTCTGGGTCTGGGACTTGAACCATGGTTAACCATGTGAGAGTTGAATGCCTTAACCACCATGCAACCTGCTGGCCCCACACATTATATTCTTTTAAAAACTGTTTTGCTATTTTTAAACCTTTGGGAAAAAAATGTATCTTATAGTTATCATAATTTCCTTAGAATAGATTCTGAAAAACAAATATATCTCTATCAATAATAATATCTTAGCAAACATCAATAGAGTACAATAAAAGCATAAATTCTCAATAGTTTAATGCACTTATCATTGTGTACTTGTAATTGTTTCATGTATATCAGCTTAGAATAGTTTGAGAGGGAAAAAAATACTTTAATAAATTTTGGAATGAACTTTATTTTTGTCTTTCCAAAGTAAGCAGCACTATCAAAGGACTGTGCCCTTTCTAAATCATGACAAAATTCACTGCCCTTCCTACACAGATTCTCTCCTTTATCTAGACTCCCTTTTACTTTCCCTGGCTCTGGAATGAAAGGCTGTGAGGTCGTTCAGGGCACTTCCACTTTAGGAAGAAGAGTTCTAATTGTGCGGACTAGGGTTTCAGCAACAGTCTTGTAATTTTTATCCCTTTGAAGAAAAAGGAAGTTAAATGACTAAAACACAGGAAAATAAAAGAACGTTTTGAAATTTTAAATTCTGCTGAAATTTTCCAATGTTTTATTCTGTGACTCTATAAATGAGGGTAAAGCGTCTATGAAACTTTTTAAAAGAAAGCAATCCAGCAGGATTTATATGTTTCTCCTATACTTAAAGGAAGTATAACATATCAGAAAATTAGAAGACCAGTTGATGCCATAACTTTTTCATGTAGACTTTTTTACTCTAGGCAGTTCAAACTCTGATGATTTTATTTTGTGTAAAATAGAATTAATATTTTTGCTAGCGTTACCAGTATCATTATTTTGTAAAGACCAAGTAAGATAATATGTAGCTTCATTACAGGGATAAATACAATTATTGCATTCATATCTTATTTAAATATTATGATAAGTAAATGAAAAATGCTAGAAGTGTATTTTTACTGTAAAAGTGTTAAAAAAAGGAGATAAATTGAAAGATGTCTTCTTTGAATCCTGCTTCTTGATTTCTATTCACCTTGAAACCTTTTTTTGTTTGTTGTTTTTTAATTGCCAGAGGGTACATGCGGTTTCCAAAGAGAGAGAAAGAGAGAAATGGGGCATGGTCATGCCACAATCTTAGTTCCTCCATTCCTCTGTCCTGTTGAGATTTTGAGCATGTCCACATATGAACCGTACATGTGTTTCAAGACACTGGAGTTGGGGCTTGACCCATGATCAGTCATGTGAGATCCAGCTTTCGATGCACAGTACTTAACTGCTGTGCTATAGGGCCAGTGCCCTCCAAAACTTCGTAAGAGAATTGTGTGTTAGTTTGCTAGTTGTACTGTCTAGTACGACAGCCATCAGTTCATGTGGCTATCATATCATGTGGCTAGCAGATGTAAATGCAAATTAATTATATTTAAATAAAATGAATATCATTTGTCACACTACTCGTATTTTAAGTGCTCGCTCATCCTATATCACTGATCTATTGGACAGAGTAGATAAACAAAATATCTATCATTGAACAAAGTCTTAATTGTACAGCACTGCTTTGGAATCAAGTCTAGGAAGAGAGACTACGGTAGAAGAAGAATGTCCTAGTGATTGCAATGTCCTGATCCTCAGAACCTGGAAGGCCCATGGCAAAAGGAACTTTCCAGATGTAGTTATATTAAGGACCTTGAGATGGAAAGATTATCTCGGACTGTCTGGGTAGGCCCAGTATAATTACAGGAGTTTTTACAAGATTTCTTATAAGAGGGCAGGAGGGTATAACTAAAAAAAAAGAAAGAAAGAAAGAAAGAGAGATGTGATAATGGGAAAAAAAGTCAGTGTAATGTGGTTTGTAGATGGAGAAAGAGACCATGAGCCAAAGACGTAGGTGACCTCTGAAAGTTGGAAAAAGGCAAGAAATTTCAGTATCCTTTAAAGCCATCAGAAAGAATGCAGCCCATTGAATTCTTGATTTTAGGACTTCTGATTTTCAGAACTATGAGATGAAAAAATGTGTGTTTTTTAAAGCCATCTCATTTATGATAATTTGTTACATTACCATCAGAAAACCAATACACATTACACTGTACTTTTATTCCCCTTTCAATGATCATTCTTTGTGTCTGGTTCTTTCTATTAGAATAAATATTTCAATAAAAATTTTCTATATGCACAAGCAGATTTTAGGCAGTGAAAAGTGCAGTAGTGAAACATGAAACAGAGATGGTTAGGGAGTTCAGGCTAGCAGGGACATGTGTAGCTTATGTTGGTAAATATTTAATAACTTGCTCTAAAAATCATGAATGACATCAATGGATGATATGTAGCATTTGTCAATTTCCATATTGTAAATACCTGTAACATCACTGTTTTTAAGCTACTGAAGATAAAACTAGAAAGAGGTTCTGGTTTCTGCACATGACTTACATCACTGAGCATAGAGCTAGAAAGAGATGTTAGTTTCTGCGCATCACTTATGTATATGATGTACATGTGTGCACATTGGGTGTTTCTAGGCAAATACATGGACACATGTACAGAGTTTGTATTTTAAATAACAGAGGTTTTATTTTAAATAAGGTCTCTGATACTTGCCAGAACAGAAACCTGAAAGAAATAAAGGGGCTATCCATGTAGATACATGGAACCAGGGCATTCTTGACAAGGTTTTTTTTTGGAAAGAGTAAGTGCGAGCACTTAACAGGCAAGAGTGTGTGTGTTGTGTTTGATATATTTCAGGTGTTTCTGAGGTATATTATCTTAATCCATCTGGCTGCTATAACAAAATGCCATTCATTAGGTGGTTTGTAAACAACACAAAAATTATTTCTCACAATTCTGAAGCCTTGGAAGTCCAAGATCAGGGCAATGGCAGGTTTGAGATCTTGTGAACACCCTTCTTCTGGTTCATAGCTTTTATCTTCTAGCTGTGTCTTGGTGACACAAATATTCAGACCATCACAGATATTATGAAAGCTAAAAGAACTGGAAGAGAGTGAGTTGTTCAGTTGCAGAAGTTAAATTAGGAAGTTAATTTTATATCTGTATATATTTGTAAGTGAGTGTACACTTGAAGGGGGAAGACAATGTCACCAGTGTGAGTGTCTCTCAAGGTTTTGACTTCATCACAGGAAAGAATTGAAGCATGAATCAGTAAGGCAAAGAAAGTTTTTCAAGGAAAGATAATACACTCCGTAGTCAGGACTGATTCACAGGCAGAGACAACATGGAGTGCCTTTCAGGATCTTCCTTTATGGAGATTTACATTCATACTAACAAATTTTTAGGGATTCAGGGTGGTTTTAAGGATCCCCTGTAAAGAAACTTATTTGTGTCTGCTTTCTGGGTGAGCATGCTTGAACATGGGATGAATGTATTATTATTATCTAAGATCTCCCAAGTGTGTGTTTCCCAGCATGCAAATGGAACAAAAAGTTTACTATAGGTAATCCGTGGTGCTGGTGGGCATGTGTGACCACATGTGAACTACAATGCTACAGATCTTGGTGAACAGACTTCTTATTCTTCTTCATTGTGAAATTTTGTTATTGGGGTTGGCCTTATTCCTACCCCATCCCCTTCCTCAGTGGTTTTTTTCCTAAAGGTTGGCTTGAATTTCTGCCTCCCACTTTTTATTCTTTATTTCAGAAGCAACTCATATGTCACTATGAAGTAAGAGACAGGAGTCCTAAAAATATAGTTAGGGTATAGGCCCAAAATGGAATCACAAAATGACTTACGTTTTGAGATGGAAGCAGTAGTGGCTCAGTGATTGACCTAGGCAGCATGGCCTAGACCTAAAACAAAGGCTTTCTTGAGGCTCAACCACATTCCAGGAGGAAGATAAGATAATAGATTTCATGGCCCAAAGCTTTAAGACAAAGACTCGACTCCCACATCACTGACCACAGTTTGAGTCCTGGACTTGGTGGCTTGCTTTCCCTTTCTCTCTCTCTGTCTTCCTTTGGTCGAATTTAAATAAATAAATAAATCCAATTTTGAAAAAAAGGAAAATAGTTGAACCCATTCAGCATGTGCCCCTTCCTACCAGGAGGGGAATGAATGCTCAAGCCTCATCTAGAACCTAAGTCCGGATAAAGCTCTTCCTGACCCAAATAAAAACCGTTGGACACAATTCTTCCTTGGCAACCCAGTTTCCGGGATAACCTCCCTTCTTAGAAACTTTGTCCTTTAATAAACTCCACACTTTGTTAATAAATTCTCTGCTTTGCTACTACACTCCTCACTTTGGTATACCTACTCTCGTCGTCTGTGAATCTAATTCTTCCTGAACTGGGACAAAAACTTGTGTCTCACAGCAAGTGTGGGGTCGATCACCCGTGCCCCAGCATCAACTATAGGTACCATTTTTTTCCTTCTTTAGGGACAAAACAAAGACATCCATAGGTTAGCACTTACACTACACATGAAAGTAACTGTTAGATGAGAAGAGCCTTAATAGGAGCAGCCTTTGTACAAAAAGCAAGAAACATGAGAAGACCTAAGGTAAGACCAAATTAAATTCTATAAAAGTGTAAATTGTTAATATCAATCATTCTTTGCTAGGAAGAATCAGGGTTTTTTAGGAATCCTGATAACACACCACAAACTTCTTTCTGCTCATGTACTTTTCATTCGGGTCAATATAGAGTGAGAACTGGAGAACAAGTGCGACTGCTTTGGCGTACCAGCCAGTTCCTTCATAATGTCTCAACTCAGGGAACCAAGAGGAAATAGACACACATTGTGGAAGTAACACATAAAGGTCATTAAAAGAAGTCCCTTAATGACGTCAGGGCGCAATCGGACGCCCTCCTCCCCCTGGGCGTTTCCCAGGAGCTTCGGGAGGAGGGGGTGGCGCGGAGCTGACGTCACTACCAAGCGTCCGGCGCGCTCCGTTGGCGGCGAATTCAAACGTTCGGACTTGGGTCTCTGGACCTGAGGAAGCGTCAGAGGGGCCAGGTTCTCGGCGTTACCGGCGTGGCTTTGAGCTTGTGGCCCCTGCGGCGAAGATCTCGGAAACAGAAGCGGCTGGTGGGTGAGAGGGAGAATGGCGCTCTCGACCATCGTCTCTCAGAGGAAGCAGATAACGCGGAAGGCTCCCCGCGGCTTTCTAAAGCGCATTTTTAAGCGGCAGAAGCCTCACCTTCGTCTAGATCCAACGGCTGACTTACTGGTGAGATGCCATCCCTTCTCAGGAGGGAGTGGGGCGGGAGGAGGTAAGGGAAACGACCCCCAGCATTTATTTCGCAGTCCCTCGTCAATCTTTAGCTCTTGCCCCACCCTAGCATGTCAGCCCGTATTTCTGACGCCTGGTTGTGACCAGGGTCCGCCGAAAGGTACGTATCTGGCCCTTTTAAAAAGGAGGCTAACAGCCACACCACTTTAAGCAGAAAGCTAACATAAAGTTCCCGTTTAAAGTTCTTAAGTATTACTGTTCAAGAACACAATCTGACACTGTAATTAGTGTACTTCCAAAAGGTACGAAAGATCCCACCCTTTAAAAAAAAGATTTTGGAATTCAGACTAGGTCACTTTTATTTAATTATTTTAGAAGGCATTGCCTACATGCCTTTTAAGTACCTCCCTTCATGCCTCTCTCCTTTTCTCTTCTATTTAAGTCGTTAACTAAACTCATTGCCCCATTTGCCCGTCCTTAGGCTGCTTACTAAAGAACTCTGATTCGAAAGTTTATTTGTAAGTAGAATACTCTCAATTGTGAATTAATTTTTCTAGACAAATAACAGAACCCCTATTAGTTCAGTTTTTAAACCAGGCCACTAAATCCTTTTTATCTGACTTATAGTACCTGAAGTATAATGCTCTCTTCATAAATAGCCCCAACCAAACCACTGTGTAGTAGCGCTTCTGTGTTGAAGTAAATTCAACGTTTGTGTGTTGATTGCCTGGGACACATGTTACTCCAACTGAATGAATACCATGGGAGGTACCTCCTGTGGCTTGTCACTGGCCTCTCTGTCTATTGGAGGCACGAGTAATTGATTGCCTGGGACACATGTTACTCCAACTGAATGAATACCATGGGAGGTACCTCCTGTGGCTTGTAACTGGCCTCTATGACTATGGAAGCCAGTATAAGTGGGCATCTGATTTCCAGGAGGTTAAGGGAAAGAATTGTGGATAACAAGGGCATATCACATACATAGTTTTGGGAATACATCATTCTAGATGTTTGTAAACATCATTGGTGCCCTCCCTTCTCTTTTCTATGTAGCATCCCTGAGTTCACAGCCTTCTCACCTGTGGTCTCTCTTTTTGCTAGACTACAAAGGAATTGTCTACATTTTCCCCTTATTTGGTCTCTAAAACCAAAACATAACATTTCTTTTTTCCTTGGAAAAGTACTGTTTCAATGGCCTATACTCCTTTTTCCTTAAATCTTGTAAGAAAAGGCAATATATGCTGTTTTATATGCTTGATTCCCATCTTCTACCCCATAGTGGTGGCAGAGGTGCTGTTAAGGGATGGAAAAGTGTTGGGGTTGTGAAATCCTTGGTTCTTTGGGTCCAGATCACTAAAATTAGAGATCTGTCCCTAGGCACAAAATGAAACCACAACCACGAATGAAGTAGATACAAAAGAAGGTTTAATAGAAAGAAAGGAAAGAAAAGAAAGAAAGTACACCCAAAAGGTTGTTGGGCGGGCAGATTGCCAGGTGGCAACCGCGCTTGGTACTAGTTAACTGTTATTTTATTACTAGAGGCCATGAATGTTCATTAGTGGGAGGCCCCTTACGCTGCCTATGTCCTTCCTTTAAATTTGAATCCACACGTTTTCTCCTGCACCTGCGCACCTTCCTCACAGGTAAAGTGAGGAATTTGATCACCTAAATGCGAACGCCCAGTGCAAGTCAGGTTGCCCAAATTAGATTGCCCAATTAGTCTATCGCCTTAATGACCAAAACGCTTGCTTGAGTCCTTTTGATGGAAGAAAAATCCACGAATTATCTCTGTATGCTTCCCTCAAGCCTTAAGGAAGGAATATGACAAATTACCTCGCCCTCCTGGCACCAGGGGCTAGGTGAGCCTTTTGCTTTTCTCTTAGGGCTGCCCGCTCATGGCTAACTAACTGCCTACCACAGTGCCAGCAATGAGCTGGATTAAATTGAAATTCAGTTGCACAATATTTTTAGGTAGTTTATACTGGTGTTTTCACTGCACTTCTAAATAGAGGAGAAAATGAACTTAAGGGTATTTGGGAGACTACCAGCTGTTGTATATAGTTTGGAAATTTCTCAGATAGCTTCCTCCCACATCTCCTTTCTGTCCCAAAGTGACCCATGGACAAGTGGATTCCTTGGTGAGGTAGGATTCAGGTGTGACATGGAAAACAAGGGGATCTGAAATTCTAGGCAGTTGTAGTGATGGGAAAAAGAAGGTTCTTTTGGCCATAAGCTGTTCCCAGTTAGTTGCTTGTCATCAAGAGTGAAAAACAAAAACAAAAAAAACAATTCTCCTCCTTTACTACTTTGTGTGTTTCCTGCATCACCCTGGTTTCTTTGCTTATCGTTTTCTACTCTTTTGACACTTTATAATCTTACTAGCATGTGTTCCATATTACCCATGAAGTTTACTATAGTTAAAGCAGTGTGATTTGATCCCTTTTTTTTTCTAAATTTGGACAGTGGTAAGAGTGCATACATACATTTTAGCTGTTGGGACTCTAACACCGTTCTCTAGGAATTTTAGTGGTTGCTGTTGTCTCCCAGTGTGGTGTGCAGCTTTTCCACGGCCAAGAATGATATCTAATGCTAATTTGTCTCTGTATCCATGGTTTATACTGAGAAAGAGGAAAATTATTTTATGCAGGCTAATAATCTGAACTACATCCAAAAAGGGTGTGTTTTAATTGGAATTTATTAAAAAAATTTTTTTGCCTTATTTGGAGAGATATGGACATATTATTTGTTCACATAGTAATTATTGATTACTATGTATGGGTAGCGGGCTAAAGGTCATTGGGGATACATTACTGGGAAGATTAAACATAGTTTTTGCCTATATGGCACATGGAGGAAGACAGTCGGGAGAAACTGCAGCATAATGTATGTGCAGTGTTAGGAAGTTCAGGGTGTAGTTGAGCTATATAATGTTACATACTGAGAAGAGCTGAGCTTTTCCTGGAGGTCTACAAACCAGTAGAATGGTTGGAGGGAAGGCTGCATTTGAATTGTGAAAATATTTAGGTGACCTAGTGTTGAACTAGAAGCTGGAAAAGGTGAAATTTGAAAGACCTAGTCAGTGGGGTTCAGTGTTCCAAAATTTGGAATTTATCCTGAGGGATCTGAATACTGTTTGTCTTAAAAAGTAGAAAATATAGATTAATAGATGGAATAATTATGCTATATTATACAATGTTTTTGATGTCAGGGGAAATAATACCTTTTTTTTTTTTTTGAGTTTTTTTTGCTATAGGGCGCGTGTGCTCGCCAGACAGACAGACAGAGAGAAAGCGAGAAATCACCCCCCAGAGGGGATGGCCACGCCACAGTCCCTTCTCCTCTCTGGATCTTGGTCACGCATGCACATGTGCCAGCGTGAGTTCTGGGACTCGAACTGCAGTTGACTACGTAGGAGTCCAGCGACATAGCCATTATGCTAACTGCTGGTCCCAGTACCTTTTTTTTAAAAAAGAGATTTTTGCTGTAGGATGCATGTGCTCGTTGGAGATACAGAGAGACATAAAGCGAGAAATCACCCCTCAGGGAGGATGGCCATGCCACAGTCCTTTCTCCATTCTCTTCTTGGGAACCCAGGCACGCATGCACACACGCCTGGTGTGAGTTTCATGCCACAGGATCCAGGATTCATACCATGGTTGATTACGTTGTAGTCCAGTAATATAATCTCTACACCATCTGCTGGTCGCAGAACTAGATATCTTTTGTAGAGTTTTTTTTTTTTTTAATTATTAATTAAATGGCAAAACATAATGTAAACAGTCAGAATTGAGGTATTTACTTAAGAGTTATTTGCGAGTGTTGAAGAAGATAGTACATCAAAAAATACCAAGAGTGGGGCCAGCAGTTAGCGTAATGGCGTAGCCATCCCCCCTGGGGGGTGATTTCTCGCTTTCTATCTCTCTGTCTCTCTGGCAAGCGCACGTGCCCTATAGCAAAAACCTCTCCAAAAAAAAAAAAAAAAGTATCATCTTCCATAGATTGTCAGCTTATTAGGTTTAAATCCCCAAACCCATTTTTCCCAAATTTCACTAGATTACTTTTAAACACCTATGTTACAATCCACTAAAGATATCCATGTGATAGTATTTAAAACCACATTATCTAGTTATTTAAAATTTAGTGAACTGTGGGGGAGTGTTTGTGTGTAGTAAACAAGAAAGTGAATATTAAGTATTGTGTATGAATTGTTCTTCAAACGGCAAAGACTGTGTACTGTGATGTAAACAAAAAAAGTAAATATATGCTAAAGATATTATTTAATTTGATCTAAGTTGGTAGTGGCCTCAGACTCCTGACAGAAATAAAGGATAGGGAAGATGCGATCAATAAAGGAGCAGTATATATGATCCTAGAGAGTACTGAGAACTTTACCTAATTTTAGATTCTCTTTTGCTTGGACTGTGTGTTCCTTAACTGTTTTCAAGATATGTACATGCAAATTGAGTAGCACTTTTTATCCAAAAAGTAGCACTTTTTTGGATAAAGATTTTGAGTAAAATATATAGCTAAACATTATTGCACATATGCAGGTAGTGATATTACTTATGTTATTATCTATGGTATATAGTCATCCCTTGATCTCTCCATGGGAATTGTTAACAGGAATATTTCCTACCCACAACCGCCAGATGAGATACGAAGTCCACAGATACTCAAGTACCTTAATATAAAATGGTATAGTATTTTCATATAATACATACATATCCTTCCATACACTTTAAAGCATCTCTACATAAAATGATACATATGTGTGTCTGTGTGTTTTGCTTATATGCAGAGTTTGCCTTGGTAAGAATATACAAAATTAAAAGAAAAAACTGGCAACCATGGTTAACTGTGGAGAGAGACTTTTTTTGAGAGATTTTTGCTATAGGGCATGTGTACTTGGTAGAGAGACAGAAAGCAAGAAATCACCCCCCAGAGGGGTGGCCATGCTGCAACTCCTTCTCCTCTATTCTCCTTCTGGGATTCTGGGCATGCACACAAACGTTTTGTCTAGTGTCAATTTCATGATGCTGGTCTGTGACTAGAATTGTGGTTGGCTAAGTGGGAGTCCAGTGCCTTTACCACAGCAGAGAGACATTAACTTTGACAGTCTACTCCTTTGTAGATTTTTTGGTTTTATAGTTTTATTTTGAAGTAATTGTAGATTCAGAAGAAGGTACAAAAATAGTACAGAGTTCCTGTGTATTCCTTATCCAACTTCCCATAAATACTTACATTTTATATAACTATAGTTCTTTGTTGGCTTTTGAATTTTACAGTGTTTGCCTATTTATTTAAAATAATCTTTAAAAAGCTTAAAGATTATTATTGTTTTTTAAACAAATATTTATTTAATTCTATTTGTTGTTATTATTTTTTCAGTTTCACCAGAGAGAGACTGATACAGAGAAAAAGGAAAGCAAGAAAGCAAGCCACCAGGTCTCAGACTCAAATTGTGGTCGGCCATATGGGAGTCCTGCTCACTTAACCCCCATGCCACCTGTTGGCCACTGTACATATGCTTTTCAACTCAGCAAACTTAAAATTTTCATGATTAACATATTTTTGACTAGATATTTCAAAAACAATCTTCTTAGACCTCAAATTGTAGAATAAGAGAATGCATAAAATATAGTAGTAAGTATGTTTAGATTTAAAAATTTCTAGGGACCAGCAGTTAGCGTATTGGCTATGTCGCTGGACTCCCATGTAGTTGACTATGATTCGAGGCCCAGACCCATTGACTTAGACTCACACTGGGCAGGTGTGCGTGTGTGCCCAAGATTCCGAGAGGAGAAGGAATCACAAAATGGCCATCCCCCTGGGGAGTGATTTCTCACTTTCTGTCTCTCTGTCTTTCTGGTGAGCGCACATGCCCTATAGCAAAAACCTCACCAAAAGAAGAAAAAGAAAATTTTTCTAGACAGTTAATAATACATTTTAAATTTAAATTTATTTCAAATTAGAAGTGAGTGTATTTTTTTATAGTCCTATTAAGATTTGATATATAATGGTGTTTATAATACAATAATTACATTGTTTATGACCTTTGGCTTACTTTGCATTGCCTGATTTATGTATTGCAATGACTGTCTTTTTGTATGAAATATAAGATGGACTTACATTAAATTGAACTCTATGTAATTTTAATTGAAGAGTTAATTGACTTAATCATAATAATAAGTAGTTGAATAATACATTTTGGGTTTTTAATTTTTCAGAGTTATTTCATAGTACCAGTATTTGTGTTTAAAAAATTACATTTGCATTTTCTCTTTTAAAGGTTCATCTGAACTGTTTACTCTTTGTTCATCGTTTAGCAGAAGAGGCCAGGATAAATGCTTGTGAGAATAAGTGCAGAATCCTTAACAAGGACCATGTACTGGCTGCAGCAAAGGTAAAAATCTGTGTATCTTTTTTTGAGCAAGTGTTAACTCAAAAAATATCACTTGGTTTATCATCACTGCCTAATTGAGATACTGTATTCACCTTGTTTGACTGAGTTGATATTTGGCTTTTTGTGTTAATGCAGTTAGTTATAGAGTTTGATTTTCTTTTATAGGGTGCATATGCTTGCCAGAGAGACAGAAAGCAGGAAAACACTCTCCGTGGGGGATGACTATGCTGCAATCCCTTCTCCATTCTCTTTTTGGCATCGTCAGCATGCACGCACATGCCCAGTGTGAATTTTAAGTCACCAGGTTTGGAACTCAAACTACAGTTGACTATGTGGGAATCTAGCAACAGAACCATTACTCTTATCTGCTGGTCCCAATAACTTTATTTTTCAAAGATGTCAATAGATGGCCTACCTCAAAAACTTCCATAGTCAGATCAGTGTAGATTACCATCATACTATACCTCCTTGTCTAGTCATAACACTATTGTTTATAAGTAGAACTTGTTTCTTTATGAATGTGTAGGAAACTAGCGACTATAGTTGTCTGGAGGAGATGAAAAAGAGACTTATTTTCGACAGTCTGCCTCTTTGTAGACATTTTTATTTTAATATTTTTATTCTGGAATAATTATGGACTCACAAGAATGTGTGAAAGTAGTCTATAGTGTCCATATAACCCTTTATCCAATTTTCCGCAAATGCAAACACCTTATATAACTTACAGAGTTATATAAATCGTGGAAGCTTATGAGAAGTAAAGCAGTAAGAGTGTGTTGAACCCTGTTTAACTTAGCATTTTGTAAATTTATATTTTGGAAATTCAAGTACATAATACTTTATTTTATAGTACTCATGTTAATAGCTTATAGAAGGAAGAACTACGGGCCTCTAACGAAGCCTAGAAATGTACACACCCTGGCATTTGTTAGCGGTTTTAAATTGTCTTGCAATGAAAGATTTCCAGGTTGGGGCAAGCAGATAGCATGTTGTTTGGTCACAGGACTACCACATGGCTGACCGTGGTTTGAGTCCCAGGCCTGGTGGCTTGAAGATCACTCTGGGCCTGTGCGCGTATGTGCCCAGAATCCCAGGAGAAGAATGGAGGAGAAGGAATTATAGCATGGCCATCTGCTCTGGGAGGTGATTTTTCAGTTTCCTTCTCACTGTCTCTCGGGTGATCACAACTGTGGCAGAAGTCTTTAAATAAATAAGTAGTTTATTATTTTTTAAAAATTTCCAGGCTTCTAGACTGTTAAAGTCAATGTAGCTCTTTTTCTGCAGGTAAGGCAAAGCTAAAGAGCTTCAAAAGTGTGTGTGCTTTAAATTGTTTGTTTATATTCATGTACTATAAGTGTATTAACCTAAGATTAGAGATAAGTTATTTCAAAATTATTGGAGCTATTCTGGCCTAATGCTCCCAGCCTTTTTACAGCTGAAGGTCTCCTTTTCTGTCAAAGGTTGTGTTTTGGAAATTGTCTATTTAAAGGTGCATGAGATGACCAGACTTGGTCTCTGTATTAATATAATTCTAGCCCAAATATAAGCAATTTAGTGTTGTGGAAGGCTTGTACTACTGAATAATTGTGAAATCTAGAGGTGTCTGTAAAACCAGGTTTTGAGAACCTAGCATGTTTCACATTTATTGAGAGAAGCAGACTATTTTAGGGAGATCTAAGACCACTTATAAGACAGAAGATTCCCTAATCATTAAATGGGTTTATAAATTCAGAGTCTTGTAAATTAGACACATTGGACTATTTAAACTTTATTAAGGAATTATGTTTTGTTTTTCATAGGTATAATCTGAATCTTCATTTTTTCCCCCCTCACAGGTAATTCTAAAGAAGAGCAGAGGTTAGAAGTCAAAGAACACATTTTTGTCCAGGAGATTCTTGGCCATTATTTTTTCAAATACAGCTTCTGCCCTATTTCTCTCTTTTTTTCTGAGGTTCTGATTGCAAATTATTATTCCTGGACTTTTGATATTGGCCCACATATTTCTTAAATGTTTCCATTTACTCCTTTGTATTTTTTCTGTGTCCTTCAGTTTGGATATTTCTGTTTTTTTTTTTTTTTTTATCTTGGAGTTCATGTGTTTTTACCTTTGGCTCTGTTTCACCTGCCCTTAAATATCTAATGAGTTCTATATCAGATAACATTTTTATATTTCATTACATGCTCACACTTTATTTTTCTTTAAAGATTCCTATTTTATTAAATTCTTAATATTTTTTATGTCTTGCTTATCCTTTTCTCTTTTCTTAGACACTTATTTTTAGGTAGTTGTCAGCTAATTCCAATATTTGTATTATTTGTTTGTTACTTGTTTTTTTCCTCTTAGTTTTTGGTCATGCAGTCCTATCTTTTGGCATGCCTAATAAGTTTTGGTCAAATGATGGCTCTTTCTCTAAATAAAGAAAAAGAAAAAAATTTTCCCCTGAGGGGTCAGTATTTTCCCACTATGCAGAGTGGGTGATGGATGATTGCTTCAATTTCAGTGACTGCCAAATCAAGACTGAGTTGTATTTCTACTCGACTCTTGTTTTCCCTTGGCCCTCTAAGTGTTTTAACTGGGATATTGATATATTTCTCTGTGGCCCTCGTGGCATGTACTGAATGCTAATCTTTAACACAGGAGAATGCCAGAAATTCTACTTTTCAGAGTCTTTTCACTTAGGCACAAAAATTCTGAAGAAAAAATGATCTTATAATTGAAAGTCCTGTGTCTCCATCTGAAGCTCTGTTATAGCAGCCTAGAGTCTCAACCTCCTTCCTTCGCCCAGAATTAACAAGTATCTTCATGGTTAAATCAGCCGCAATCATCAATTCACCTCTTAGATTCTCCCCTAGGGTCTTCCCGTTTTTGTTGCCATAGCAGATCTCAGCTGTCATCAAGTAGTGTTTTCTGTAAATTATCTAGCTTTTTAGTTTTCAGTGGGAACGCTGTTTGGCCATAATTTACTCTAACTAGGGTGCCCAAGCATTCTATTTGCCTGTTACATTTTAGCACTCAAGATTCTGCATCCCAGGAAACCCCTCAGTAGTAGGCAAACTAGGACATTTGGTCATTGTAATTTTAACCCATCCAGAAACAGAAGTTAATAAGTTAATTTTATAGGAGGTACTCTTAAGACCCATGAAAAACAATTTTCACTTTAAAATTGTATTTATTTACTTCAACATAGTTGTGGCTAATATTTTTATACATAAAGTATTCTAGGAGGCAAATGTAAGTAATTACTGTTTAGAAATTATACTTATGAGAAAGTTTAAATAGATTGTTTAATTTTTATCTTGTTAATTATGCAAATAATTGGCAAAATTACTGGTTTTGGTTTTGAATTGTAGTAAATGTCTTTTTCTCCCTAAAGTGGGAGTAGTCTTACACAAATTCTAATTTTCTTTTCTCCCTTTTCAAACATCTGACTCCAAAGTGTCTCTTGTTCTTAGAAATTTCTCCTGTGTTCAAGCAGAACTGTCTGTCTTTTGTTTAAGACAGTACCTCCATGCTCTGAGGGGTTCATAGCTAATGCGCAGCACAGGAAAGTGAGGTAGAAGCACACTTTGCATTCCTGGGAACAAAGAGCTGAACTCAGTAACCTGAAGACAATAACTGGTTTCACTTGCACATGTTACACCTTGTCCTTTCTTCTGTTAAACAGATATTTAAAATTTGTACATTTCGTAATGCTGCAAAGGCAAACATTTTTCCTTAAAATATTAATGAAGTCATAACTTTTAGTAAGGCAACACTCTGTATCAGTCACATGATTTATTCTTTGGATGATTACTCTGTTTTGTGATGGTATTCATGCTATCTTCAATTATATTTTACTCTTTCTTAAAGATTTTTACCATAGGGTGCATGCATTTGTTGGAGACAGAAAGTGAGAAATCCTCCCCCAGGAGTATTGCCACTCCACTGTCCCTTCTCTGTTCCCCCCTTGAAATTTTGGGCACACATGCACACACGCCCAGTATGATTTTCAACCCACTAGGTCTAGGCCTTGAACCTGCAGTCATTCATGTGGGATCCAGCGCTTAACTGTCACACCACCCACTGACCCTGCTTACTTTTAGTTTTATATGCCTTTCTTATTTTGCCAACTAGAATATAAACTTTTGTAGGGCAAGAAGTTCTAATTATTTAGAAAGAAGTCTAATTATTTAATTCCTCAAAGCACATGTACAGATTTCTTATTTAATTTCTAAAACAAGGACTGAATTTTTGACTGTGCTTGATGAAGAGGGAGCATCAATTCTTTCAGTTATACATGCCCAGAAGTAGTATATCTTTACATTTACCTAAGACATTACTGGATTCCAATGATTATAATCCAAAGGAAAGATCATTTTAAGAAATCTGGATGATCGTGTTGATTCTGCCACTAACTATACTTATGCAAAGTATAATAGTTTTCAGTTTCTCTCTCTAAAATTAAGGATTTTTTTTGGGAAAACCAGATGTTGGTATGGAGGTTAAGGTGGCTGAATCTCACATGACTGACTGTATGGTTCAAGTCCCAGGCCAGTAGCTTTAAAATCATGCTGAACATGTGTGTGTGTGTGCCCACAATCCTGAGAGGAGAATGGAGAAGGGATTGTGGTATGGGCATACACCTAGGAGGTAGTTTTCCCCAGGCTCCCATTTCTCGGAAGTGTACATACCCTCTAGCAAACAAACTTAAAAAAAAATAATAATACACACAGATACACACTTTGGCTGGCAGCAGTGTTACAGTGATAACACAATGTCCTCTGAGGCAGGACCCACACAGGAAGGTACCTGGTTCACATCTGGAGATTTCCCTGTGCATGCCAGGTGCACATGTTCCTGTGATCAAGGTTGGCTGGGGATGGATCGCACTATGAGGACCCTGTTGTGGTGCCTGTCTCTCTGTTTCATAAAGATTTTTTAAAAAGAAGGAAAAAAATGTACTTTAAAAGAAAATTGCCTAGATTTATTAAATCTTAATTTGGAGATTTGTGGACTTAGCTACTAAGATTTCTCTTTTTTTTAAGATTTATTTCATTTATTTATGTATTCATTCATTTAATTTGATGAGAGAGACAGACAGAAATAGTGAGAAAGCAAGCTGCCAGATCCAGGACTTAAACTATAGACGACAACTTGTGAATCCAGTGCTTTTGTCACGATGCCACCTGTTGGCCTCATAATTTCTGTTTCTTTTAGAGAGCAGGAGTACTGCCTAGAAATAATAAATGGACAAGTGGAGAGTATCTGGGACTTCTATGTTGTGTTCAAAATAGCAAGTAGACCAGCTGGAGAAAGTGGTTTATATTCAAATTATAGGGATTTCTTCAGTTGGCTGTCTATAATGGGGTGAAGAACCAGAGACCACTAACTAGCAGTCTAGATACTGTATTTGGTCTGCAAATAAGTTTTATTTGGCCCACATGAAGCTTTATAATTATTATTGAAAAAGTTACTATATTTCAAAATTAAATTTCACATACCAGTTTATGAAAAATTGGACAATATGACAATAATACATCTATAGTCAGTAGGACCTAAATAACTTCTCTCTGTGGAAGAAAATACTCTTTGGTTCGCTCTACTTGGGCCTGCTTAGTTGTATTTGTTGTGGTACCTCTCTAGGCATTTATGTCCATAATCTACTTGAAAACTTAAAAGCTGGCATCTCTTGACCTTCCTGGCCAGATTTAGTACGATCCTAGCAATGACTCAGTTATGTTCTTAGCATAGTATTTTCTAAAATGTTCTCACGTTCTGGTAGCAATTAACCTACATCATTATGTTCAAACCGTGCCCAACTGCAAGTCCAATAGCAGCAGTTAGTTCCTTAAGAAATCTGTTCTTAGGCAATGGAGGGGCAAAGTATTTGAATGCATCCAAAAATATATCCTGTCAATCTCATTTCTCCCATCCAAAAGGAACTTAAATTTGTTAAGATTTTCTGTGTTTAGGCAGATTTGATTATAACTGATGTCCATTTGGCAACTTCCTAAGTAAGATTCTTGGGCTTCCTGAATTTAGTGTATAGCTGATAGTGCTACATAAGATTTGAGTATCTATATTTAGCACCAAAAGGGGCCTTTTCAAGTTGTACTTTTATCTTTTTTCAGTTTTTATTGCCTTAGGGCATGTGCACTTGCCAGAAAGAGACAGAGGGAGGAAAGTATGAAATCATTCTGCCCACCCCAGCAGAATGGCTTTGCTGCAATCCCTTTCCATCTTCTCTTTGGATTTTGGGTGCATGTGCACATACTCCCGGTGTGATTTTTCAAATTGCTGTATCCAAGACTAAAACTGTGGTCAACCATATGAAAGTCCATCCCCTTAACCACCATACTACCTTCTGGCCCTCAAGTTGTACTAATGTTATCAATGCCTCTTTTTCCATTGTGATGCTGCCTAGGTGCCATTGTCATTTACTTGTCTTATACTCACTCTGTTGCTTCTTGACTCCAAGAGGTTGACAGTTATGCTGAAAATGCACTCTAGACTATTCTAGGGTGGTAATTTAAGAGGCACCTGATACTAAATTTAAGGTCTAGAATTGTGCAGTAGTGCTGCAAAATGTGCTACTACGACTGCATTAGTTGAACACTTAGATATTTGTTGAATGAATTAGTGATTAAAAACCATTTAAAAACCTCTTGGTTTGGCCTAGTCTTTTATGTCATAATCAAAGGAACAGAAACTTGTTTTCAAATGTTTTGAAGAAGTCAGATGGTAGTTGTAGACTCCTTAAAGAAATGGAATAGTGTCTTCTGTAGCATTTCAGACAGAAAGCTGTCATGTCTTTCTTTAGATAAGTTTTCGTTTCCTCAAGGTTTCCTATTTATGAAAGTTGCTTAAATTTCTGCTGCTCTTATGCTATAGTTTGAATGTTTCCTCAGAATTCATGTGTTGAGCCATTGTAATGAGATTAAGAGAGTGAAAACTTAATCCAATTATAGTGTTGAAAGGTGGGGCCTCTGGGTGGTGATTAGGATTAAGGTTATCAGGATGGAGCTCTCATTATATTGTGGGTTTTAAAGTGAAAGAATGAGACCAGAAAAAAGACACATGAACTGATGAACACTCAGGGCATATGTGCCTGTTTTCACATGATGTGACAACTTGCATAGACTTGGGACCCCATCAACAGAAAAACTATTAGCCGATGTTGGCCCCTGGACCATGACCTCCAGACCATGAAAATGAATAAACATCTGTTATTCAAACTCGAGTATTTTTCTGGTTTTAACAGTGGAACAGACTAACATACCTGTTTTTTCTCGGCTGTTAGTAACTTTTCCTTTTCTGCACTGCCCCTTCAGCCATCCTGATGTGTTGTCAACCTGTGACCTTCCAGTTGTGCTCTTCTCACCCCCATCATTTTCTAAATGGAACTGTTTCCTATCAAAGTTGTTTTTTCCCATGAGGAATATTATCTTACTAATGAATACATAAAACTGCTTGCCGTATGTAAGAAACTTGAATGAAGGAAAATTAGTATTTTACCTTATTCCCCTCTAACGTCTTTTTATCCACCCAATCAAGATTAGAATATGTGTAGAAGAGGAATTCCTGGAATATTGTGGGATATGTATTTTGCCTTCTTTATCAGATGGCTCTGTATCTACAGTTTGAATTAGCCACAGATCAAAAAATATTCCAGAAAGAAAGCAATAATAGTTACAGCAATAAAAATAAGTAAAACTACTGTATAATATCCATTTATATAGTATTTTTAGCATACTGGGTATTATAGTAAGCTAGAGATTATTTACAGTGTAGACTAGAGCTGACCCTATAGCTTAGTGATTAAGGGTACTGGATCCTATATAGCCAGCTGTGGTTCAAAAGAAGATGCCCTTGCATCCTGAAATAATAGGCCAGGCTCATGTGCTTGCATGCCTCAAATCCTGATTGGATGGAAAATGCAGAAGCGATTGTGGCATGACCGTGCTCCATTGTGGGTACTTTCTCTTGCTGGCAAGTCTACACACCTGACCATTAAAAATGTGAGTAGGTTATATGCAAATAGTATGCCATTTTATATAAGGGGTTTGAACCTGTGCAAATTTTGGTGTCTGGGGATCCTGGACCTACAAGGGAAGCAAATATAATGCAAATTTAATAACTAGGCAATCATGAAG